CCTTGGAATAACCAATAATTTTGGAAAACTGATCAGTACCTTTAGCTAATCATATGCATATTCTCAGCAATTTCACTTTGAGACACAGACCCAACAGAAAAACACGCAGGCATTCACTAGAAGACATACAGGAGAATAGTTATAGTAACACTATTCAGCTCAAAACTAGAAACTAAGCAAATGTCTATCAACAGAAAAATGGATCATTTATTATATACTTTCAATGGAATACTATACAATAATAAGCTGAGATATGGAATTCAGACACCAAAGATTGCATACTATATGATTTCATATATATAAGCTCAAAAACAGGTAAAATTAATTCATGGTGTTAAAAATAAGAGCGTAACAGTGACTGAGGAGGATATGAGGGGGCCTCTAGAGCAAAGAAAAATGAAAACATTCTATTTCTCAATCTGGGTGCTACTTATTTGGGTGAATTTAATGTGAGATAGTTCATCAAGCTACATACTTATCTATAAACTGTACTGCATAGACATCAAACTTTAATCAAAAATACTAAAATTTTGTTTGGGCAAAAAGGCATAGAGACATGGGGCATGAATTTGGCATGTGAGAAACAAATATTTGTCAATGGAGAAATGACCTCACCAAACATCCTTAGAAGACTTAAAGACAGTCCCACAAACTGAGGAAACTGATTTGTATTTTATTGCTGAGATATATATAAAAGGATTCCCTATCACAGATCAAGGAAGGAAGGTAAGAATGCTACATACCTTGAAATGGATGTAATTCCAAAGCAATAGGAGGTCAGTAAAATTCAATCACAACTCACACAAAACCATTGCCCAGGACCTGTGCTTCAATTTAATTAGAAGTGTTTTTTTATTTAATTTCTTTTTTCTTGGTGAATATAAAATCATACTAAGTCTTATAGCTGACCACTTAGATTTAGCTCTATAATACATGTATACATATTTTTGTGTTTGTTTGCCAGGTCCAAGCACAGCACAGAACAATAGCCATAAAAATTACAAAATTTTTATGAAGAACACAAGATCCTTGCTTTCATGTAGTTCATTACATATAAAAGAAACAGCTATTAGACTGATTTAGAATGGTATTGGTGGTATAACAACAAAGAGCAAAGTACTTTTTAAAAAGGAAAAGAGGAAGCTTCTACTAATGGTTATAAGAAAGCTTTTCAGAAGTATCTCAAACTGTGTTATGTAATAAAAGTAAGTAGCCACACATGGCTATCTAATCCAAATAAAAGTTAAAATTCCATTCTGCAGCAAGACTCAATCATATTTCAAGTGTTCAATGACCACATGTGGTTAGTGGCAGCTGTTAACGGGCAGTGCACTGAACATCACCATCACTGCAGCCCTAATCTGAACAGCTCTAATCTGGAAGATTCAGAAGATAGAAAGCGGTGCAGAATAGGTACCTAAGGACAGCTTATCTAACCTCTGAGAGCAGTACTCTTTTCAATCACTTTTTAATACTCTTGAGTCCATTTTTCCATGTTTCCTTTGACATCAGAGTGGCAAAAAATCAAGCCACTCTGATCTGAGGACCAAGTTCAGCATATAAACCCAAGAAGACAGTCTACATTTCAAAGTTAAATGAATAAAACGGAAAACTCAAAACCTCATCAGAAACCAACTTGGTTCACCTGAGGGAAAATTCACCCAAGCCTTAGCTAGAAATAAAGTATTTAAATATTTGCCTAATTCTTTAATACCTAATTGAGAATTGAGGTTTTAGGATATAACATAGAAGTCATTCAGTAAACACATTTCAGGAAGAATTCATTTCAAGAAACATTTGCCAAGCACAATGGTAACCCATAGGGATGGAAGCATTTAAACTACTAACTTCACTCAGCAAATATCACAATAGCTTAAGAATTGCAAAATCCTAAGTAGGGAATGTGGACTTGGCAGTGGTTCTTCAGAGAGAGCAAGAAAGGAGGTAAGCATGTACTATGTCTGGCCTACTCTAGGAGTTGCTGACTCCAGATCACAATGAGATAGCAAAAGCAAAAAAAGAGATCCTTCAAAAAAAAAAGAACAGGGCTGGTGGAGTGGTAGGGTTCCTGACTAGCAAGTAGAAGGCCTTGAGTTCAAATCCCAGTATTACAAAATAAAATAAACTTAAAAAAAATCCACTCTGGCTATGAAATGCTGAGGTTTGATTATAACAGTATTTCAGGAAAATAAATAAAAGAAAGAAAAGAACAAATGAAGTTTATAGAGCCTATATTAAGACACAAAAGAAAGAAAAAGGAATCCTTGCCAAAAATATCCCAAAGAACACCCTTAAAAGGAACTTCAACAAATGAACGTTCCTTCAGCAACCACTCATAGAAGAAGTACACTGGGAATGCAGGGACAAAGATTTGCAGTCTCAAGAGTTCTAGAGCTTTCGCTTACTCTGGGAGACAATGTTCCTGAACAACTGCAATGCAAGCAAATGTTACTAAGGGGTATACTCAAAACACAACTGTGAGTTGAAAAGGACACACAAGTCCAATCCTCTTCCTTATTTTTTGTTTGTTTGTTTGTTTGTTTGGCTGGCTGGTTGGTTAGTTTTTGTTTTGTCAGCAGTGCTGGAGATCTAACACAGGGTCTCACACATGCTACCCAAGTGCCCTACCACTGATCTCCAGCCCCAGCCCCTCTCCCTGTCTTGCATCCATCCTACAATATCCTTTTGGAACAGTGTTCAGTAGGCATGCACTTAGCAAGAGCTATCACCATTCATAGTTCCAAGGCAACTGAAGATGGTAACCAAAGGTACAGCAGATAGAAGTTTAGACACAGGGACTTAGAGCCAGTGCCTCATACCTGTAATCCTAACTACTTGGGAGGCTGAGTTCAGGATGATCACAGTTCAAGGTTAGCCTGTGAATAAAAGTTAGCGAAACCCCGTCTCAACCAACAGCTGGGCACAGCGGGACATCCCCAATCTATGTAGGAGGCTGAGTGGGAAAATTACCATTCCAAGCAAGTCTGGGCAAAAAAAGTTTGTGAGATCCCACTTCAATGGAAAAAAGCTAGGCATAGTAGCAAACACTTATCATTCCAGTGACAGAGAGAAGCATAAAACAGGATCACAGTCCAGGCTGACCTGGGCATAAAAAACGAGACCCTATCTCTAAAAATCACCAGAGCAAAAGGGGCCAGAGGTGCGACTCAAAGGTTCATGTGCCTTGCAAGCATGAAGCCATGAGTTCAAGTCCCAGTACCACCAAAAAAAAGAAAAGAAAAGAAATACAAACTAGGAAGTCAACTGAATATCAAGTAAATACAATGCTAGGGGCCAAAGACTTGGTTCAAGCCATAGAGTATCTCCTTAACACACACACACACACACACACACACACACACACACACACACACACACACACACCAATGTTAATATAGAATGATACACTAAAAATACCACTATGGAATAAGGGCCCATTATGACACAAATCCAGGTGAAAAAAAACAATGGCATATTGTAAAATCATCTCCAACTTCTGACCATAAGCAAGGAGGTAGAATAAATCAAGGCAAAATTCTACTCTAATCACCCCTAGCTTTTAGTTGTCTATGGAAAAAAAAAAAAAAAAAACACTTCTCTTTCCACCTGAACCAGGAGAAGCTAGTATTTGCTCAGCAGCTACTCTGTCAGGCATGAGTTGAGGCATTTATCATATGTCATTTCAAGCCCTGCAGAACCAGAGTTTTACTGGTGACTGGACCTCCCCCCAGAGATGAGCTCAACAAAGCCATCTGCCTAGGATCCTACTCTATTATGATAGATTTAGAAGACAGTTTAAGAAGGAAGAAAGAGTAGAAGACACTTGAAGACAGAAGCCTGCTCTGGGGCTCTGCTCCTGTAGTTGTGTGACTCTGCAAAAGTCAATGGCCCTCTCTGGATATCATTTCTTGAGATCTGTCCCATCTACCTGACAGGCTATTCTAAGGGTCAAAAAGGGAAAACATACATAAAAGAATTCTGTAAATATAAGGCATCACTAATATCCATTTATCAAATATTTAACAAATAGTCAATAAGCATCTATAACTGCTCTAGACTCCAGGGTTACTATGGACCACAAGGTCCCTAACCCCATGGAGCTTATGTTCTAGTAGGTGGGGGACAGTTAAGAAATTCAAACAAATAGGCAAGTCACAGTGATAAACACTCAAAAGAAAATAAAAACATAAGTGATATGAAAAAGCGTGACTACGAGAAAGGAACTACTTTAGAGAGAATGGCCACAGAAGGCCTTGCTGAAATGACATGAAACCCGACAGACCTCTTCAACCAAATGAAGAGCTGAGGAAATAAGCATCCAGTCATAAGTAATAAGATAAGGTCGCATGTCTAGAACACTGAAAGAGGGAGGTATGTCTGGAACACAGTAAGTGAGGAAAGAGTATTAGGATCAAGGTTGAAAAAGGGGACAGTATAATCCTAGACCACTAAAAGGATATATTCACTACCAACAAGCTCTTCTTTATTTCAATACAGCCTAATAAATTGAGTCATTTATGCAAATTCTAGTGTACACATTATTAAAAGTAGGACACTTCCAACTTTCTAAGAAATGCTGTTGCCAAGAAACAAGGTGCTCCATACAAAGGCCCTACACAAATCTTAAGAACTTCTAGCTGAACAAATAAATCATTTATTATGATGTTTGGCAAGCCAAATAGTCAAAATCCTCTTTATATGAATGGAAGTGGCAAAATTACAGAATTTGAGTTTTTAACAGATTTAATTTGAAGCTTTTAACAAACTTTCAGTTAATATTAGTTCTTTCAATAAACACTTATCAAGCACCTACTGCATGCCAGGCATGTTGTAAGCACCAGATACAGCAATGAACACGAGTGATGACTTAGCAACAACTGAGCAGATATGCCTACGTGTCACAATATGAGAACAGAACCTCAACTTTATTAACATGTCTGTACCTTTTGAAGCAGGGGTTACAGGCTTGGTCATGTGTACCTGTCAGAAAGCAAACTTACCAAGGAATTCTTAATCACTTCACTTCTATAAAATTCTGGAAAAGAAGAAAAAGAACAATTAAGTAATATGAAAGTAAATAAGCTCATTAACTCTCTCTTAATCCTGTAAGTTTTTGAACATATACTCTACTAAACATTGAGATATTTTAAAGAGATCTATTCCCTCTGTTATCTTTATCCATTAGAAAAAATAAAAACAGATTAAATAAAAGTGTTTTAAAGGGGAAAAACATCAGTGAAGAAGGTTTTCACATTTAATTTAATGACTGTTATCTACCTAGCTCCCTTTACCACATATTCTAATTTGAGCCCTTAAAAACTCAAACTTTCTTCTTCCTTCCCATTTCCATTCTCTACAAATGACTTCATCTACTGCTTTTCTCAAACACCTCTAGTGGTCACCCCTTGTAGTCTTGTGGAACAAACACTGATCTAGCAACCAGATAACCTAAGCTCTCCTTCTACCTCTGGTACTAACATCTGGCCTCTTTAATTTTCTTAGGTCTATTTCTTCACTAGACAACTTAGAGAATTCGAGCAATAATACAAGTTCCTCTTGTAAACATAAAAATTTCATGATTCAACAAAACTTCATACATACTGGTAAAGGTTACAAAACCCAAAAACAATATGAAAGTATGTTAGAAGTTCTGACAGATATCCCCAACAACCCTCTGACATTCCTGTGCACATGGCCTGAGTTGCCTCCTATAGCCTCGTTGTTATAGGGCAACATTCCCAAGAGTGATCTACACACCATTAGGGCTGAAATGGCTTTGGTTTTGGTTTTTTGTTTATTTGGGGGCAGTGATTGGGATTGAGCCCAGGGCCTCACACATGCAATGCAAGCACTCTACACTGAGCCACACCCGCAAGCCACTTGAGATGATCTGAGGTAATATATGCACAAACTTTTTTCTCTAATAGGTTGAAATTTATGTCTCTCATATTCCTTCCCCTCTAAGGGTAGCAGTGTTTGTTCTGTACAACTACCATTTCCTCAGCATCTAACAACATTCTTGGCACAGATATAAACTCCATAAATATTTTTTATTGGATAAACAATTTCACAGATTATGCTTAGACATAGGATTAAAAATAATGAACTTAAAAAGATTGAGTATGTAATAGTACACATGGAACTCAAAAGTGTTGAAGATGTCAGGGTGGTCCAGTAATGCCTAAAGCTTAAAACCTAAACACAAAACTCTTATGGGCAGGAGCTTTTGGTTAAGATGAGCATACTATTTTATCTTGGTCTTCCAAAAAAAAACCTATACTATTTTATCTTGGTCTTCCAAAAAAATTATTATTATACATTTGATTTGTTTTGTGGTTTTGGTGGGACTGGGATTTGAACTCAGGGATTCATGCTTGCAAAACAGGTTCTCTACTGCTTGAGCAACACTTCCAGTCTTTTGCTCTGGTTATCTGGAGATGGGGGTCTCAAGAACTCTTTACCCAGGCTGGCTCTGAACTTCAATCTTTTCAATCTCAGCCTCTCAAATAACTAGGATTATAGGCGTAAGCCACCAGTGCATTATTCTGTTTTATGAGAATTAATCACAATTATTAAGGGAAAAAACAGATCCTGAAAAAGGACTTACAACATGACCCAATTTTTATAAATGTGTTCACAATGTTTATCTTAGGTGATGGGATTTGGCCAATAACATTCATTGACTGATTGACAGTTTTCTTATTTTTCCATTAAGAACAACTATTTTTAAATAATAAAGAGAAAGAGCTGGGGATGTAGCTCAGTGGTAGAGAGCTTGTTTACCATGTACCAAGCTGTTGGACCAATCCCCAGCATGACATTAAAAAAAAAAAGAAGAGGAAGAAAGATATTCCAATCTTCTAACCTTTTTCAAAGAAATATATGACTGATGAATACTTAGGTTACTATTAATTTTTGGATATTTCAAATAATGCTATAAACCATCTTTTAAAGATGTATAACCTATAATACATGAATCTATGGACTAAACCTTTAGAAATAACATTATGAGATCAAAGACCAATACAGTTTAAATAGGATGGATAATAACAAATTGTAAATTTGTAAATATACTGTACCAATTTACAATAATACTAATGAAAATACCTATTTCCCCAACATTATGTAACCCCAAGTAATCTTTTCATTGTTTCCAAATGGCTAATCAATTATATCAACCATTAACTGCCTATATAAATGTATGTATGTATGTATGTATGTGCTGTATGTACATATATTTTAATGTATATGTACCATACGTTTTTCTAAGAAAAAAAGCCCAAAGGGATTTAAAAGCACTTTTTATTACAAGGTACTCTTTCTCTAACACATTTTGTGTTCATTTTGTACTCATTTTTCACTGTATTCATTTTGTTTTAATTCAGTACAAGTACATATTGCCTTGCTAATCAGTGGAGCACTGTGCTGAGATGTAGCTCAGTAGCACAGGGCTTGCCTAACATATGAAGCCTGGGCCCAATGCCCGATACCACAAAAAATAAAGAAATAAAGAAATTTAAAAAAAAGATAAAGTCAGTGAAAAACAACAAAGATGCTTCTTTATTCTTTTGAGAAAAAGTATTCCTTAGCTAAAAAGTGTCTAAATTAAACAGTTCCCACAATATGTATTTCCATCTCTAAGAATATTACTTCTTCTAAAACTTCATTGGCTGAATGACTGTATGAATAAAGCAAAGTAACCAATTTGCCTTCTCCATCAGGCCCTCAAAATGGACCTGCTAATTTAAATGAAGAGAGGTCAAAAATGGGCCATATAATTTGGGATGAAAATCCTCATCGAGTATGGGGTGATTTCTAACAACTTAAATTTGAACCTATACTATGTATCATTTTGTTACAACTAAAATATTGCCAATAAAATTAGCAACATGGTACAAAAAATGAATAGTGGATTTAGAGTTTTAAAAAAAAAAGGTCGTGGGGCTAGAGGAGTGGCTCAAGCAGTAAGAGCACCTGCCTAACAAGCATGAGACCCTGAGCTCAAACCCCAGTGCTGCCAAAAAAAAAAAAAAAAGTTCCAGTCCCCAATCCACCATGTATAAGCTTTATGACCTTACACAAGCTGGTTAAACATTTTGGGCCACAGTTCCTTCACCTTTAAAGGCGTGTGACACCCAGAAAATAACAAGATTATTATGAGGCTCAAATGCAATACTGAATTTAAAACACCTTATAAATTATAATTTTTATAAGATTTTATTAACTTTTATTCATTCAATTTCAGCAAAATCATCTGACAAGTAGATGTTCAAAACAAACTTTAGATCTTCAAAAAGTTACCAGTTGGCAGACTGATTCAAGTGGTAGAGCATCTGCCTAGCAGGCATGAGGCCTGGAGTTCAAACCCCAATACCACCAAAAAAAAATTATCATTCAAGACCTGTTTCTACATGAAAGGGACTGTTTGATACTAATGCTTCTCTAGGTTGTATGCTAAGACCTAAAGAAACAAAGCAATTAGAGACTGCAGAGCAGGGTTCCAATGCATGTTTTGGCTCTTAGGCTGCATTCCATTCATTCAACAAATGCTTCATAATAGGAAAACTACAAGCTTAAACTATACTGCAAAACCATTTCTAACCTATTATATTGGCACAGATTCAATAATTTGCACAGTTTACTGGTAAGGATGTGGGAGAAAAAAGGTACTCAGACATAAAACAAAAAATTGCCCTCCCTTTGGGGACAATTTTGCAATATCTACCAAAACAAAGCACATATTCTTTGTCCCAGTAATTCTACTTCTTGGAATTTACCATAAAGGTATACTAATACCCAAATGAAATAATGAGATTGTAAGTTATTCAAGGCAGTGCTATGTGTGTAGAAAAGATTGGGACAACCCAAATACCCACTAACAGAAGTCAATTAGTAAACTGGGGTTCATCTAGTGGATGTAAAACTATATAAAAAAAATTTGCAAGGCTCCCTGTGAACCAATATGGAAAAACCCATAAGACACATTAAATGAAAAATGTGAGGTAGAGAAATGTATATTGATATATAACACACACACACAGTATGATATCTTTGTGTGAAAAACATAGAGGTAAGGAATAAAAATATTCCAATTTTATTTGTATTTGCATAAAGAACCTCAAGAAAAATGAACAAGAAATGAGTTACCCTGATTATCAGGATAGCATAGGAAACTAGGATGAGGAGAAACTATAAAAGGGAGGTTTAATTTAAATTTTCATATATATTTTGAACTACAGACTATATTACCTATTCAAAAAATTTAATTAAAAAGAAAAAATATTTGAAGACCTAGTGTGAACCAAGCATTATTCCAAGGATTAGACACAGAACAGAGAGCAAAACTGACTTAAGAGTATCTGTCCTCAGGGAGCTGACATTCTAGTGAAAGGAAAAATACATTAACCAAATAACCAAACATATATAGATGTCAGTTAATCTAAAGTAGCGTGGAGGAAAACAAAGCACAGAAGACAGTGAGAATTTGTACAAAGGTTAGTCAGTGACCAAGGAGTGTTTCTTTAAGAAATACACAGAAGAAAGACCTGCAAGGAAGTGGGAGGGCCAGTCACTTGGGTATCTGAAAGAAACTGCTCAGGTCAAAGAAATACCAAGTACAGAGGCATTAAGTGAGAACACTTGATATACTCATGGAAAGCTAGGTTGGTGTGACAGGAACGGAGAGAGCTCAAGAGTAGAAGATGAGTTCTGAGAAGCAACAGAAGGCTAAATCATGAGACTTCTAAGAACCTTAAGGATATTTCTTGGCTTTTACTCTGAATGATACAGAAGTCAGTGGAGTGTTTTGAGGAGAGGAAAAACATGATCTGACTTTCACTTCATGTCAATAGCATCTTGGATGAGAGCATACTGGGGGTGGGATCACAGGCAGAAAAACCTGCTAGAAGAGTACTTTAAGCAAGAGAGGATAGAGGTTTGGAGAGAGTAAGAAGTGATAAGAGATTTTGGATATCTTTGATCAAAACAGTCAAAAGTACTTGCTGAAAGACTGGGTGTAAAATATAAGAGGAGAAGACAATCCAGGATGGTTCCAAGGGTTTTGGCCAAGGTTCCAAGGGTTTTGGCCAAGGAAATGGAGTTGCCATTTTCTGACAGAAGAAAGAACATGGAGTGGAGGGGAGAGAAGGGAGATCACAGTTAGAACATCAGAAACTCACTTTTGAAAATAATGAGTTTAGTTACCTACTAGACTCCAAAGATAAATGTACAGGAGGCATCTGGACATAGGAGCAGGAGTTCAGAGGAAAGGCCAAAAGATATTTAAGTATGAGACTTGGAGAAGATTACCAAACTGGTATTCCAGGAGATGACAGCCACTTAACACTTCATAGGTAAGAAAGTAACTTTGAAGAACTAACTTGATTTTATAAAACTCCAAGTTTAAAGGGAACCAGGACTAGAACCTATTTCCACATCCATTGACACAGGCTTTGTTCCCTGGGATATAACAACTGGTATTTGACGTAAACTACCTTAAACGTAGACAATCTCTAAGTGCGCTAAAAAGATGTCAAAAGTCACAGTTTCACACATGTCTTCTGGAGATCTATTATGAATTCAGCTGAAAGAAAAGAATAACTTAGAAACCAGCATTTCAGATAGTCTTCCAGTAAACAACTTTCTTATAAAACAAAGAAATGAACTGATGGTACAGGGGCTTTAGTGAGAAGAGGCATCTAATGATCATGAAATATTCATGTTTGTCACGACAGGACCAACAAGATAAGGTGACATTAACTAGGACTATTAAGAGAAAGGTACCCCGGCTCCTATGGTAAAATTTTATTCATGAAAAGATTTCATTCAACCATACCATTCTGGAGCAGAAGGAGGTCTCAGAAATCACCATTCTTCTTATTTTAATGATAAATTAACTAAAACTCGCAAGCAGGACTAAAGCCCTACCAAAGAGGCTTCTAAAGGGGTGACAGACTAACACCACCAGACCCTGGGCTCCCTGTGGTCTGTCACTTATTTCCTAATCGTGCTAATGATCATTTCATTGAGATAATGTCAAGAATCAGCCTATAATAACCTCAAAACTCAAGGTATAATCTGAGCTAGAAGAGGCAAAAGACAAAAACAAGAAAGTTATTTTGCTTTCATCTTTACATCATGATCATCAACCAGTGCCATGACTACTCTCCTTTAAAACTATTATGACTAACATTACAATTCTAACAATAACTACTGCCATTTCCAAATTCCTAAAATGTGCTGTTAGTTGCTACTATCATATGTGACACTGGAGCAAGGACACTGAGGTTTTATTAAGATAATCAAGAACTGATTATCAGAAACCCATCCAAAAGTAAAATACTCAGTAATGTTACACATTCCTATTGACATAACCAATTAGTGAGCAGCAGACTAAATGCATTATAGTCTACAAAAATGCTTATACCCTTTGACGAAATAACAGCTAAACCATTACATTTCCTTCTGGGCACATAAGAAGATTACATTTCCCAGTTTTCTTTACATGTAAAAAGGACAATGCAACTGATTTATGGCCAATAGATGTCACGGAATGGATGTTATCGATGTGGACCATTTCCACTTAAAAATTTCCCACGAGTAACACTCCTCTCTCTTGCCATGCCAGAGGTCAAGTACTAAGGACAGCAGCATCCCCAAACAGAGGAATCTGGACACCTGAGTCACTACTCAGAAGACAGCTGCCAAGGCTGTACCTGATAAAGAACACCTGCGCTAGACTTAATATAAGAAGTCTATTATGATATATTATGATAAGCCAAGAGGTTTGTGGTATTCATTACAGTGGTTAGCATTAATTATTCACATTAATATAATTGTTTTTAAAATACGCAATGGTTAGAATGAAAATTAATAGTGAAATAAAAGTACATGACAACTGGTAGAATGTAGGATCCCTTTCTGTCCTTAAAAATTATTTTAATGCTATTTACTATGAGGGGGTTTTTATACACTTACTTCTTGATTGCTTTTTTAAAAATTTTTTGCAGTGCTGATGATGGAACTTAGGGCTTTGCACATCCTAGGTAAGTGCTCTGCTACTGAGCTACAGGCCCAGCTCTTGATCAACATTTTTAATGATCATATACTGATATTTAAAATAAGAAAAATAAGTTATTAAACAGTCACTTCTCTAGAGCTGGGGATGTAGCTCAGTGGTAGAACATTTTTGCTTAACATATACAAAGCCCTGGGTTTCATCCCCAACACTGGGGAAAAAAATCAATAACCACTAATTTAATAATGGTGATTTAAAAATTCTTAGAACTAAAAAGATAAAATGTCACCTGAGTTTTTCATCTTTGCCACAGGACAAGATTCAACTAAGTCCTTGGGCTGGGGAGTTAGTTCAGTGGTAGAGCAATTGCCTAGCATGCATGAGGCCCTGGATTCCATCCCCAACACCACAATCCTCAGTACCTCTCATTAAAATGATGTTACTTTTGGTTAGAGTAAGTAGATGTTTAAACACATCTCACCAAGCATTATTACATTATCTCTGTTGGTCCTCATAAAAACCTATCTTGCCTACTTGGTAAGACATCATTTTCTCCACTTTACAAACAGAAAAAGTTCAAAAACCCGCGAGCTTCACCAGAAGGCATGAAGCTAGTAAGCAGTTACAGAAGAACTAGCTTCAGTGTGGTTTGCAGTCCTAATCTGACATTTCCATCTTTTACCAGATTTCCTCTCTTCTACCACCCCACCTCAATCAACCGATTTTATAACAGCATCATCTATTCAATGTGTTCTAAAGATGATTGTGATTTTGAATCAAATAACTGGTCTATTCTTAGAATTGAAGAATCCATAGTACAATATATGAAATTGAATTAGATGAAATCATTAGATGAAGCCATTCTTCTGAAAATGACCCCATATATGCAAGGAATCACAGGTGTGACAAAATATAAACTAGGTCCTTATTTTATTATATTAAAGAAAAAAATTACATTTAAAAAAAATGTACTAAATACTAGGCTCATTGTTTGTTTATTTATTTATTTGCAATGCTGGGGATCAAACCTAGGACCTCATGCACACAAGGCAAGCACTGAATTACATCCCCAACCCCTGCGTAATTATTTTAAATACTGGTATATCAACAGTTAACACATAAAGGAATGACAAATTTATCAATATAGGGTTATAAAATTACCTGAAGTAGCTATCCACTAGCCACGCTTCTGGGGTTTGAGCTTAGGGCCTGGTGCTTTCTAGCAAGCACTCCTCCACTTCAGTCACAATTCCACTCCTTTTTGCTTTAGTGATTTTTCAGGTAGGGTCTTGACATGCCTTTTGCCCAGAACCACCCTTGAACAGTTAGTTATCCTCCTACCTATGCCTCTTCTACAGCTGGGATTATAGGATATACCACTAGCTTGTTTTTTGAGATAGGAGCTAACTAACTTTTGCCGGAGCTGCTACTGCAGCTGGACCTGGATCCTATCTCCACCTGCTGGACCTGGATCCTATCTCCACCTCCAGCATAACTGGGATTAAAGGCACAAGCCACCATGCCCAGCCATCATACTTCTCTAATATACATAACTGCCCAAAATATTTTCAGGGAGCATGACAATTTAACTTTCCAATAAGTAATGATAGTGGAAGGCACTGAGAATGTTTTACAAAAGGCTTGGTGGCTCACATCCATAATTTCAGCTACTCAGAGGCAGAGACTGGGAAGCTCATGGTTTAAAGCCAGCCCAGGCAAAAAGTTACCAAGACCTTTATCCCAACAAAATAGCTGGGCTTGGTGATACATGCCTATAATCCCCATGTATAATCCCATTATACATGCCTATAATGCCTCCCAATTATGTGGGAGGCATAGGTAGGAGGATTGCAGTGTAGGCAAGTCTAGGCAAAAAGAAAAAAAGGGAGACACTATCTTAAAAATAAATAAAAGAACTAGGGGTGTGGCTCAAGTGGTAGAGCACCTGCCTAGCAAGGGAGAGGGACTGAGATCAATACCACAAGAAATAATAATAGTAATAAAGAGAGTAACCATGAGATTACCGTCTGCAAGGCCATAGGTCCCCTTACCTTTGCGTATCTTTTCAGCAGTACACAAGTGAAGTGTGAAGTAGGTGTCAAGGAGCTGGTGGCCGTTTCTGTTAACAATGTTGCGTGCAGCGATGTTCCGAAGATGCCGAAGACGCCGCTAAGAAACAACAAAAAGAGATGGCACTCAGCGTCTTACCCCGTGGCGCGCTCTGAGTGCTTCAGTTCAACAGGGAAACACAACAGGCCATCCCCAGCACCACTTGTTCAGCCAGCAACCATAACCCAGTACTTATCTACGCCTCAGCACCCCTGTGTTGAATAGGAGCTACACCTGCCCCGTCTCACTTACAGAGTAGCTTCAAGTAGGAAATAGCAGCCGATGAAAGATTTCTGAAACACCGTAACATTACTTAAGTACTGCACACTTACAGAAGGGTGTTCATAGTCCCAGAACTAAGTAGACGCTTGCATTTTTCACACAAGTACTCAGGTAGACATGCAAAATCCACTTCAAACACACAGAAAGTCAGCAGTTACTACAATCATAAGCCCCTGTGCCAGTTCAGTCTAGATGCCACATCACTTGTATAGCCAGGAGAAGAGCCCAAAGCCAAAAAACACTAGTAATTCTAGTCACTCCATTCAGCCAACAGCCTAACTGTAATGAGTTTAAATTAAATTCTCACTTTTCTAGCCGTCATCCCATCTCTATTTCCTGTTCTAGTCTCCTTCCTAACCAGGATGTTGAATTATTTGGAGTCACACATGTTGGCAATGGAAAAGCTCCGCAAGCAGCAGTGGAAATCAATGAAAACACAAGATCAGCTGAAGAGAAAACACACCTCACCCTCACCCTGTGTCAGATAACTATCTTCAGAGACTTAAAAGTAGAAAAGACAGTGCTCAGTTTTAACATAAGCATCAATTTCCTTCAGGCTGCAAGCCAGTCCATCTCCAATTGCGCAGTCAGTCAGTCAGAAGGGTACACTCTTTGTTCCATGCACGTCCCAACCCATTCCTTTCTCCCAATCCAGCAGTTAAGATCATTTGAGAGAGACTACTGCCTAATAAACTTCCTTAATCCTCTAAGTATGAAAAGCTCCAAATGCATTTATAAGTTCCCTAGGGTTTACTGTGAAAGGCTAATTTTTCTACAATCTGCCCAAGGTTTCCATTTCACACCCTGGATTACAACAAACATTTTCTGCTTCTATCCACTTTTCATTGGCCCCTTTAGTGAAATTTTTCATTTGTTTATTTATTAATGTTTTGAGACAGGGCCTGGAACTGGAGATCTTCCTGCCTCATCCCCCCAAGTGCTGAACTACACCCAGCTCCTTTCAATCAAAATGTCAAGTTAAACCTTGTATTGTAGTTAGTTGTTTAGTTACCTTCCCAATTAATCCAGCAGGAAAAGACTTAATGACAGAGACCATTTAATAAATGCACTTTTAGCATTTATTAAATGCTTACCATGTGCCATGACCTGGGCTAAACACTTCATACACATGATCACGTAATCCTCATGTGGTTCCTTAGTCCTCATAACAGCCCTAAGAGGTTCGGTACTATTTATTGTAATTATTCATTTCTTTATTCCAACAAATAACCAAATATAAACAAAGAAACAGACAGTAAATACCAAATGAGGGGTGTCTCAACAAGGAGGAAAGGATACAGGAAGCTAAGGGATTACACCTCTACTTTATTTGTGAGTACATAGCTCTCGCTGCATAATACATACACCTTGTTAGCAGTCGTGGTGGTGGAGTCTGTGACCAGAAGACTTCCAAATTCTCCATGTCCCTGGCAGGACATGTGAGTGCAAATGAGGTTTACTAAAATTTAGGGACGGGAAATACAAAAGCGGAGCATGGTGGGCGAAGATGAAGTCTGGAGGCCAAGAAAGTATGCTTCTGTTCTCCAGGTGCTTTTAAAACTTATGCTAACCTATAGGAAGGAAGGAACCAGGTGATTCCCATCCAATTACCAATGAGTGAGGAGGGTAACGGGTGGTTTCCAGGCCAGATGAGGGCAGTCCCTGAGCCAGAGCGTGGTCAAACTGAAATGCATTATTAAGCTTCTGTGAGTCACGACCTTTCCCTAAGATTAGCCTGACATATTCAGCTTGGTTTTTAACATCCTTTACTGCTACAGAGAACATAATAATGACCTATCCTTCAATCGAAGAGAAGACTTTAATGACAAATGCAATCATAATGGACTTAGTGCTTTTCAACACAGAATGCCTGGCTTGGAGGAAGACTGACTCTGTAATGGATGTGTGGATACTGCTAAACAGATCTTTGTATTATGTAGGAAGTTGGTGCAACCACCTCCCAGGTGGTTTGACTTATTTCTAAAACATGAGGGTAAGTATTCTCACTATATCATGATTAATTAAAATATAAGATGCTGCTGGATGCTGTGTTGTGTGCCTGTAATCCCATGTACTCGGGAGGCTAAGGCAGGAGGACTGCATACTCAAGGCCAGTTGGGCACACAGTGAGACTCTGGCTCAAAAATATAAATGCACATATAAAATAAATACAAGATGCTTCCAGCAGCTAAGATGGACAAAGGAAATAAACTCCTTATAGGTAAATCACTGATAAAATCTTGGTAAAATGCGGTAAAATGTACACAAGCCCTCTTGCTTCTTTGACATTATTCCAATTTTATCATAAAACTGCTTTTAAAAAATGATAATTGTAAAAAAAGATAACCAATACACAATTACTTCATCTAATTGCAATTAATGGTTAAAAATAATTGACTTGTTAAGACAAAAAAATTCAGTAGTTTATTGGTCCTCCCAGAAGCTTTCAAAATTGACTTCCTTTGCCAGGCACTGGTGGCTCATGCCTGTAATCCTAGCTACTCAGAAGGCAGAGATCTGGAGAATCGTGGTTCCAAGTCACCTGGGGCAAATAGTTCACAATACCCTATCTTGAAAATACTCAACACAAAGAAGTACTGGTGGAGTGGCTCAAGTGGTAAAGCACCTGCCTAATAAACAGGAGGCTCTGAGTTCAGACCCCAGTACACCTCCACCGCCAAAAGAACTAACTTCCCTTAAAAGTGAGTAAATGTTTAGCAAAGTTAGTTACAAAGAAGACAAAAGCATTAGAATCAAGGAAAGATAAAAGTTGGTTTCCTAATCAATGAGAAAAAGCAAAACCAGGTGAGAGGAAAAAAGTAAAGGAAACAAAGAGACAGTACCAGGTGAGGAAGACACAGTAGTCTGCCTAAGAGCAGCAACTTCAGAGGCACAATTCAAAGTAGTTCACTAACCAACACTGCCAATGCTAAGATTCATTTGCTTATTTCTTTGCTCTTAGTTAAATAATTTCTACATCTAAACACACCAGTTTATATACATATGCATATTGGATCAAGACCCAAATAATATTTAAATTAAAAAAATTAAATACTTAGGTAATCTAACAAGTGTACACAAGGTCTACATGAAGAAAACTGCAGACCTCTGATGAGAGCAAATCTCAAAAAACAGCTATGCAAAAAGAGAAAAAAAAAAACTAGAAGAGCTGATACAATATACAGAAAGAAGGTTAGAGAACTGCCACTACTACAAAGTCACAGTAATAAAGCCAACAAGGTACTGATGACAGAAGAGACAACTAGATCAGTGGAACAGAATAGTGAGCCTAGAAACAGGCCCAAATATAGTCATAAATACAGCCAATTGGCTTTTTTTTTTTTGTTTGGTTGGCTTTTTTGAGACAGGGCCTAAGTAGCACAAGCCAGCCTCAAAATTGAGATCCTCCTGTCTCAGACACCCAAACCAGAGATGTGAGCCACCATGCCAAGCTTATAGTCAACCATTTTTTGAAAAAGGCCCAAAGATAATTCAGTGAAGAAAGTCTTTTCAATACTTGGTGCTGGAACTGGACATCCGTATGCAAAAAAAATGAATCTAGACATAGATCTTACACCTTTCACACACAAAAAAAACCCTCAAAATAGCTTATAGACCTCAATGTAAAGTACAACACTAAAATTCCTAAAAGATAACATAAGAGAAAATCTAAGCCTTGCGTTTCACAATAACTTTTTAGATACAGCACCAAAAGCACTGGTCCATTAAAAAAGAAATTGGTAAACTAGGGCACCGGTGGCTCACACCTGTAATCCTAGCTCCTCAGGAGGCAGAAATCAGGAAGATCGTGTTTCAAGGCCAGCCAGGGCAAATAGTTCACAATACTCTATCTTGAAAATACTCAAAACAAAACAAAAAAGGGCTTGTGGAGTGGCTCAAGGTGTAGGCCCTAAGATCAAGCCCCAGCACCACAAAAAACTTGGTTTGGCCTTGCAATGGTCCTTAGTGATCTGAAACCCTTAATAAAAATCTGATGGGGTTAAAACACAGAGCACTTCAACTTTAAGAAATGACCTCAGAAGTGCAATGGGGTCAAGTCTCAGCAGTGCCACTGAACTAACACAAATCCCCAGGATGCACATACCTGGACTGCTGTAGAGTATGAGGTCTAGTGGGGCTTTGTGGGCTAGCAGCAGCAGCTAACATACACATTTTTTTTTTTTTTTTGTGGCACTGGGGTTTGAACTCAGGGCTTCATGATTGCTAGGCAAGCCCTCTACCATTTGAGCCATGCTGCAGCCCTTGTTGCATTAGTTATTTTTTTTGAGATAGGGTCTTGCTTTTTTTGTTTACCATGCTGGCCTGGAATGTGATCCTATTTTACACTTCCTACCATTGCTGGGATGACATATGCATGCCACTACACCCAGCTTTTGAGATGAGGTCTCAAGAACTTTTTGCTTGGGCTGGACTTGAACCAAAATACTCCCAATCTGGGTGTCCCACATAGCTAGGATTACAGGCTTGAGTCACTGCACCCTGGCTAAAACACACCTCTTTTGATTTTCCCGAAATAGAAGTAAGGTCATCTCTTCAAATGATTCAGTTATAGACAATTAAAACCAAACCATCTTATGTTCTTCTGTATCTCAAAAAAGTAAAAATACTCTGAATAATTAAAATTTACACAGACTCTGGAATTACTCTTTAAGATAATGTTCCATGCGATTTTTGTTACCAGCCATCTCCTTAAACTTCCTCAAATGCTCTGCTCTGTGCTCTCACAGTTATAAAGTATTCTATGTGCCAACTACCTG